TATATAAGCCCGGCAAATTATTGCCGATAGATAGATATAAAGACAGATAATTGAGTCAAGCGAGCTGTAGTGACCGTAAATAAAGTGCGTGAATCGTTGTGAATTATAGCGAGTGTTAAAGATAAAGTGACTGTGGAAATTCTTTGTATTGCAAAGTTGTATTGAGAAAGAATAAACTAGTTTTATTTCAGAAAGGACTTGTATCGCTGAAGTTCCTCGTGAAGAATTTATACCGGAAATTAATAAACGACCAGAGACGTAACAGTATGTAGATTTCTTCCAGTTTCGTATTTATCTAGTTGAGAAACAATTCTAAAAGCGTGAATTTGTATTTAAATTGTTTGTTTGTTCGTTTTTAATTTCGCGCAAAACTACACTAGGACTATCTGCGCTAGCAGTGTAAGACTAGAGGGAAGGCAGCGAGTCATCACCACCCACCGCCAACTCTTAGGCTACTCTTTTACCAACGAATAGTGGGATTGACCGTCACATTATAACGCCACCACGACTGAAAGGGCGAGCATGTTTGGTTTGACGGGGATTCGAACCTGCGACCATTGCGAGTCGAGCGCCCCAACCACTTGGCTATGCTGGGCCGTGTATTTAAATATTTAACTCGGATTTCAAATGGTGAGTTGAAACAAAACTCAGAAAAGAAGCACAGCTAAACCTAAGAAACCGTAGAAAATATGAACTGGTGAAAAAGGATTCAATATGATATTGAATAATTAAAAAACACAAGGCTTTGAGTTGTCATAGGATATTAATTATTTAAATATCGTCAAACGTTTGATGTACATTCTCAGTTTAAGTGATAAATTCCAAGACAACAAGGTAATAATATATCTAGAAATGTCTACATGGTTTTGGCCGGTTTTAAGGTAACACTAACAAAGGCGTATCAATAAAAAGGTTTATTAAAAAAATTAAAAGAGGTCAAAATTTATGGACAATATATACTATTAAAACGAACTTCTAACTGAAAATGAAGTTATGGATTATTTATTTTGTGAAGCGCCACAGTGGCACAGCAGTAAGTCTGAAGGCTTACAACGCTAAAAATCGGATTTCAGTACCCGTGTTTGGCACAGCACAGATAGCCCATTTTGTAGCTTTGCAATTAACAACCAATATAAAAAAAAAGGAAGCATGACAAACTTTTCCTGCCAAATACATGCAACACATATTAAGGGAATTGTTTATCGAAAGCTAAAATAACGATTGGCTTAATAAACTGGAATAAAATATATTGTCCCACGGTGGGACAGCGGTAAGTTGACGCTAAAATATGAGGTCCGATTCCCCGCGGTAAGTACAGCAGATAGCCCAATGTGGCTTTACTCTAAAACAAACAAACAGAAAAGAACATCTTAAAAAGAAAGCACAATCTAATGACATTTAACATAATCTGACAATAGAGTAAGTAATACGAAACTTTAAGATCTTTAAAAATTAAGACAAACATATTCGTCTGAAAATGCTATTCCCTAACTTTAAGATCTTTAAAAATTAAGTTAAGATAAACATATTCGTCTGAAAATGCTATTCCCTAACTTTAAAAATTAAGATAAACAGATCCGTTTGAAAATGCTATTCCCTAACTTTAAGATCTTCAAAACTTAAGTTAAGATAAACAGAGCCTTCTGAAAATGCTATTCCCTAATTTTAAGATCTTTAGAAATTAAGATAAGATAAACAGATCCTTCTGAAAATGCTATTCCCTAACTTTAAGATCTTCAAAACTTAAGTTAAGATAAACAGAGCCTTCTGAAAATGCTATTCCCTAATTTTAAGATCTTTAGAAATTAAGTTAAGATAAACAGATCCGTCTTAAAATGCTATTCCCTAACATTATCAGATATTGGCTCTGTGAATTTAAGTTCGAATGTTTATAATTATTAACGAATGTCTCGACAACCAGAGGTTGTTTTTGTGTAGATATTATAATGCATGTCAAATAAAACGAAAATACCTTTTTTTTTACTAGTAAAAGTTACAACTAAGTTAGATTTTATACAAATCCATCTTACCTTTTAACGGGTAATTCTTACTTAAGATCCGCCGGTGTCTCGATTTATCAAAGATCTCACAGAGATCACCTCACCAAGTGCACAAAATGTAAACTAGTCTCTCTCTTTCTATATACCTATCAACTAACTTTATTTTTATTTTTTCTTCCAAGAACACCGTTTCCTATTCGTTATGTTCCAGTATTTGCCTTTGGAAACGTTTATCGGGAAAACTCGCCCTAACTGAAACCTCTTTCTGTAGGACAGGTCCTATAACGCAGTTGTGGAACATTAGAACAAGTCCATTGGGCGACGACAAGGTCAGTTACACGGTAGGCCTAGTGGCTGAGCTGAATTAATTATTCTACAGCTATAAACACACGTTCAGCATGTATGCAGTTCTTGTTAACGTTTTTATTTTATCTAAAATAGTAACCTGATCTGTACTTGGCTTGAATGTTTAGGCATTGTTGCTGTGATCTAAAAATGAACTTTGGCAGATCATTTTTCGGTAAAGAACCAGTATAATTCCATATCAGTTATCAATACTGTGTATTTACACCTTTATTTCTTAAGGGCGGTAGCCTATCTTTTGTAGCACGTGTATATAGTATCGACCTAGTTTTGGTAGAACTCCCTCATTTAAACCGGTTTACATCCAAAGAAAACTCAGCGATACACGTGCAGGCCCTTATTTGCACGTAACCTAACAAAGTGAAGAAAACAATAAAAAAATTATATATATACACACAAGAAGTTACCGATAAGATTTGAAGCCAAAGTATTATGTGTGGGAAGGATTAATGACACATTTAAATATATAAAATTAGATTACTAGTGCTATTTTTGTGGGTTTTCCTCCTTCCAAGTTTAGAAAATACATTTCCTGTCATCTAGTTAATACATCAAGATGTCAATAAGATGCTTTATACGGAATATTTGATTTGCACCTGCACAGATGTCGATTTTCCCACACTACACGTGTGATTTGAACATAGTACGCGCTTGAAGTCGCTAAATTCAATTTAAGGGTTTTATACAAATCATTAAAAACAGATGTCTATATTAATTAGGATATTGTAGTGTCAGAAGATATTATAATACATCTAACAGGCATATAAAACGTGTAGACTTACAAGAAAGCAAACATAAGCAAGTGAATACCACTGCACTAGCAAGTCCAAACCTGTCCAAATTTTATCCCTTTCACAGTAATGCGCATGCGTGTGACATAAGTGCGATCGAGAGCTCATTCATCTGAAAGAATAATGTATGCTTTCAACGAGTTTAATGAAGCGTGTTATCTTTCCTTAACGTTATTTGGTGTATTGGCCAAGCCAGTAAATTAGTTAATTCTTTTAGCCCTGTTGTCTTTAAAATTAGGATGATTAAGAGTAGAATTTATATGGGAGCATAGATTTTTCTCACATATGGATTTAGTAGTAAACACCGCCACTCTTACTTTGAAGTTTGTAAAAACTGCGAAGAGGACGAGGACTTTGGGACCGATGTATATACGTACTTTATTTACCACGCTACTTTTCTTAAAATTATTACGAGGTAAAACAACAACTTATAATATATATTGCGTTTTACATTACCCACCTAAAAACGCAGTATTCACCCGTTATCTGTTGCCATGGTTACTCTTGGTCAAAAATACTGTTACGTCTCTGCTCGTTTGATAATTTCCGGTAGAAATTATTCCCGAGAAACTTCAGCGATACAAGTCCTTTCTTAAATAAAACTAGTTTA